ATATTCCAGAACACTTAATTGTGCTCATGAAGAACCTGTACAAAGACCAAGAGGTAGTTGTTCGAACACAACAAGGGTACACCGAATGGTTTAAAATCAGGAAAGGTGTGTGCCAGGGTTGTATTATTTTTCCATATTTATTCAATCTGTATGCTAAGCAAATACTCCGAGAAGCTGAATTATACGAAGATAAACGTGGCATCAGGAATGTAGGAAGACTCATTAACAATTTACAATATGCAGATGATACAAACTTGCTTGCTGAAAGTGAAGAGGACTTAAAACACTTACTGATGAAGATCATTGCCTTTGCTATGGGTTGCATCTCAATGTAAAGAAAGCAAAAATCCTCACCACTGGACCAATAAACAACATCAAGATAAATAGAGAAAAGATTGAAGTTGTCAAAGACTTCATTTTGCTCGAATCAACAATCAACACTCATGGAAGCAACAGTCAAGAAATCAAACAACCTATTGCATTAGGCAAATCTCCTGCACAAGACCTCATTAAGAGTGTTGAAGAGCAAAGATGTCAGTTTGAGGAGTAAGGTGCGCCTGACCCAAGGCATGGCACTTTTTTTTTAAGTTTTTATTGTGATTTGAGTGAAAGTTTACAGGGCAGATCATCAACTTTACATTCAACAAATCATATACTTTGTTTCATTACAATGATTATAATCCCTCCATATACCATCAGTTAACAGTATTTCTCTCTATTCATTTTATTTTTTAAAAACACTCAGGCATATATAATAATTTAAACCACCAAAGGGCACATTCTACAAGCCTGCCTCCTGGCTGCCAGCTCTCTGTCCCTCTCTTTCCATGAATCTAGAGTCCTCAGCTGCTCTCTCTCTCCATGTCCCCATCTCTGCAAGGCATGGTATTTTCAATAACCTCATATGCATACAAGAATTGATGCTTTTGAGTTACGGTGTTGGAGGAGAATATTGAAAGTGCCATGGGCTGCCAAAAGAAACAAACAGATCTGTGTTGGAAGAAATATAGCCAGAGTACTCCTTGGTTGCCAGGATGGCCAAACTTCATCTCTCATACTTCGGACATACTGTCAGGAGGGACCAGTCACTGGAGTAGGATATCATGTTTGGTAGGTCGGAGAAAAAAGAGGAAGACACCCAGTGAGGTGGGCTGATGTATCTCACCCCATTTACAAAAACAAACTCAATATGGATTAAAAACCTAAATGTAAAATACAGAAATATAAAGATCATTAATGAAAAAAATAGGTACAAATACTGGGGTTCTGATATATGGCATAAATATACTATCAAACATAACCAAACACTAACAGCAGAAGACAAAATAGATGACTGGGACCTTCTGAAATTTAGACACATACGTGCATCAAAAGATTTCATCAAGAGTGAAAACAGAACACACAGATTGGGAAAAATAATGCTGGCAATGAAATATTAGATAAGGTATTACACTAAAAAATTTATAGAATACTTCAACACCTTAACTTGAAGAAGACAATCCAAAGGCAGAGGACATAAATAGACACTTCAATTAAAGATGTCATTCAGGCAGCCAACAAACATGAAGGAAAAGCTCAAGATCTTTAGATGCAAATCAAAACAGCAATGAGATACTATCTCACCTGTGCATTGATAGTAAAGGTAAAACAAAAACAAACAAACAAGAAATACTGGTAAGGGTATAAAGAGACTGGGACCTTCCTACACTGATGATGGAGCTTTAAAATATTAATGTTGTCAACGTTTTAATTTTACTTGAATCTATAATCAATCCTAAGGAAAAAATAGTGAAGAAATCAAGGGATATATTGCTTTGGACAAATTGCTACAAAAGACCTCTTTAAATTGTTGCATAGCAAATATGTCACTTTGAAGATTAAAGTACCCAAGCTATAGTTTTTCCAATTGTCTCATATGCATATGAAAACTCACATGCATAAGGAAGACTGAAGAATTGGTGCTTTTGAATTGTAGTGTTGACAATGAATATTGAATATACCATGGACTGCTAGAAGAACTGGGAGTGCATAGCAGCTCTGTAGGATAAACACTGGACTGAGAACCAAAAAAATTGGCAATTCAAACCCATCAGCCCCTCCTCAAGAGAAAGATGAGGATATCTGCTCCTGAAATGATTTATAGCCTCAGAAACCCTATACTGGACCTCTATGAATTAAGAACCAACTCAATGGCACTTAATAACAACAGAAACTGAGGATTAGAGAGAAGCAATTTGAACACTGTCAAATGCCTAAAAGTATCTAAATTGAAACACAAAGTAGTCTGGTGTCAAGTTCATGACGTTATATATACATCATTAAGACATGAAAGTAAGACCAATATCACCCAGCAAATTGACAAGTGTATTTATTGCACAAATTTCCCCTAGAACTGGGAGGTTATTATAATACAAGTGCACATTTGAGAAATGTATACAGAAGAAAGAAAAAGTATGTACATTTTACATATCCCACCATCTAAATAACTTAGAGAAAGCAGAACATTCTTATAAGACAGCTACCAGAAGCATTGTGTAAAATTTGTTTTCCATTTTTTAAAAGTGAACATCCCTAGTTCATGCCAATTGTCATAAAATGAAATCTGTGCTAATGTTTATTGCACTTAAATTTTCAGTCAAAATTAAGACATATTAATATAAGAGGCAGTAATAAAACAAACCAGTTAGTTTATGTACAAAGAAAAAGTAATTTCAATTTTATAATGTAAAAGCTCCCTTTTTCATGTCCTGTTGCAACAAACAGGTTTTTTATAATATGTAGCACATTATCTGTCTGTACCATAAGAATTAAGTTGAACAACAACAAAAAATGTTTCTGAACAGGTTAAAACTCTACACATTCATCATATTGATCACACACTTTAAAGAAATAGTAACTCTGGGTAAGGAAAGAATGGCTATGATGAAGAGAGCAGAAATTACAGTAGAGTCAGATATTTTAAAACTCAAGAATCCTATAAGGATTAATGATTCTATAAGAAGCGATAAGCCTTTTCCTTCCCAGTAACACGTAGGTTTTTGTTTTGTTTTTTTAAATAATAGCATGAACAATTCATTAACTAAAAACCAAATTTCCTATATGGTGATGTATTAATGATGGCTGAGAATAGAAGATGATTTGTTTAAAATAGAAAACACTCAGAAGCAGACATTATCTACTTGCTACATATCATTCTGAGCGATAATCACCTGACAGTGAAAATAATGTACAGTGGCCCACATATGAATTTTTATATAATCTGAATTCTGCCAAAGAGACTGGTACATAGTACTGTAGGTGATGCATGATAGAAGAATTCTGTTACTGTACAGAATAAAAAAATTAAGCCAAAGAATATATATCCATAAGCACTCTTGGACAGTAAAAATCATCCATGGGAGAATCAGGTTTAACAGCTGGAACCAGCTGATAGAATACAGTGGTGAAACAGATTTTGGGCACACCAATTTCAGGTTTACATTCCATTAAAGCAACCATTTCTTCTTTGTCTACGCTGAGATCTCTTAAATACACAAGGAGGCATGATAAAACCTGACCCAATGCTATAAATTCAAGGTCAAAACTAAATAAACCACAGAAATTTTCCATTAACTAAAGAAAATCTAAACAAGAATGGGTTTGTTATATAGTAAATGTATTTAGTAACGGAATTAAGTGGTTTTCTAAACTGATCAATTAATCATGATGAAAATAGTCAACGAAGGCAGAAACCAACTTTACTTCTAGCATGAAAAGTACCTTAGATCAGATAAGCTAAGAATAAACTATAATGTAGTATTCAAGTAAACTGAGGTAGTAGAGCATATTGAAAACTTTTATCTACCCATGTTTCTATTTACATTAGTTACAAGAGTTTGGTTCCGTATTAGCCTTTCATAAAAGCAACATTCTACATTATTTACAAAGATATAACAATTGAAAAGTGGAAATCTGTGAAAAAAACAGGTTTTGGAAGGGAGGAGGCTGGTAAATGCGGGAATTTACAGAAAGAGAATAACTTTAAAAGTTATGAGTTCTATTAATTTAAGCTGAATATTACCAAACAGTTAAACAAATGTTCAGCTCCTTGTGGGTTCAAAAATGGCTGATACGAAAAACAATGTCTTGGCTACCTGAGCACTTTCATGGAAAATAGAATTATTTTTGGCCAATGCTTTGGTATAATTTTTAATCCTAATTTTTATTTTAAAAATTAGACATCAAATATGTAAATATTAATATTATAAGAATTAACTTGTAGTTATAAATACAAGAAATGTATAAAGGAGAATTCTTATTTGGGAATCTATATCCCTTGGCCTTAAAAAAACATTGTCTTAATATTTTTGAATGTGTGGAACAGAAAAATCATCAAAAAGTAACATTACACACAATTAATACTAGTTGAAAAAAATATATATAAGTAAAAGTCTTATTTATCAATCTTGTATTTCTAACTTTGCTCTTTTAAAAAATAGATACATATGTACATGTAGGTGGATAACATAACACATATTTACATCCACTCTGAGTTTGTTAGAATTAACAGGATGTTACAAATACTTACTCTGAGAAATAGTCAGAAATTAGCTATTTTGAATTGAAAAGCAACAACAAATAATCAGGGTAATATAGATCCTGGTACCTTAGAAATAAGTGAAAACTAATGAAATGACAATTTTCAGTCGTTACTATTTGTGAATCCTGTAATGTTACCCATTATTGAGAACTTGGATCTTTTCAAGTGCCTTTCCCCAAAATTACTTTTGCTGCTTTAGCCTGACTTTGCAGAACTCTAACACCATCCCGTAAAGTCTAGTCAGAAGGAAAAAGTCATCCAATGTTCATCAAATGTGCAATGCAATGCATGGTACCAAAGTACTGACTCTCAGATGCAGGCCAACAGAAAAAAGAAATCACCACAATTGCATGTTGTGTCTGCTTCTGTGTTTTCTCTACTTTACTTTCTTCCAAAACTAATGCCTCAATCTTCAGGCATTTTATAGGAGTATCTGAGCAACATATGGAGAGTGAGTGCTTGCTACAGCAGCCAGAAGAGGAAGATCACTGGATTCAATCCTGAAACATAGGGAGAAAAAAATCTCAGTGCAGGCATTTCTTCCTAGAACATGTCTACTACAAGAATGAGTTTTACATGTAAGGTCACTTACCTGAGTAAGTGTACTTAGCCAGAGTACTAGGCTACCCCTAGCCAAGAGGTGAAGGACAAAAGAGCTGAAGACATTAAAAGCTGGAAGTTTTTCAATAAGTGAAACTCAGAACCACAGATTTTAAACAAGAGAGTATCTCTGAAACCCAAAGATAACCAAAATCATGAATGTAGGCAAAGACCTCATTGACCTGGTGATGAACCATGCATCAGGACAAGAGATAGTGTCTAAGAAAAGCACGTTAGTATAATGATAGTGTGCATTCAAATTTTTGGAGTCTTGATGTGGCACCGTGGATTAATGAGCTGGACTGCAAAGTCGGTATGAACCACAAAGATCGGCAGTTGAAGTTTTTTAGATATAAATATTTCTATAATAAGATACTGGAGGAAGTGATAGAAACTCCTTAAAATTACATCCTGCCACAAACAATTTCTAGAAAAAGAAAACAAATGGCCACTAAAAATAGAAAAAGTTATTCAGACTCACTCATTGCTAAAAAAAAAAAAAAAACTGAATAAAATCCGAAGCCAAGTTTAATAGCAATCGATAGAGGAAGAGTACACTTGTTCTGGGAAGTTACATAAGTGCTTTCTGAATGACATTTTAGTATTATCTATCAAATTACTTATCAACTATCTATAAAAAAATTATTATACATGCCCTACTTCAAGGAACTTACTCTACAAGTTTCAAAACTTTACATTTATTCCAGCATTAACTTGGAATAGCAAAAAAAAAAACTGAAATGATCTGAAGTCTATCACATAATGAAATGTCATACAATCTTTAAAAATGAATGGGGAAGTTTAGTCTGTGCTTACATTAATGAACATGTATTCAAGATATATATATTAAAAGTGAAGTGGCAAAATGACACATAAAGTGTAAACCAATTTATAGCTCTGGTTATGTTTGGGTGTGGGTTTGAAGTTGGAGAAAAGGAAAGAAGAAAAACTAAATTTTCATTTTATGCCAAAATGCACTGTGAACTTTGATTATATGCATATTAGTTTAACAACTAATAAAAATTTTAAAAAGAATGTCATTTCTTTCTCATACATACACCTCTACTCAGAAAAACACAATTAAATCCTGTGATTTCTCTAATGCTCTCAAATCACTTCTTTGTGTACTTCTCAAGCCTCATCAGGACTTTGAGCAGTAGTGTGGTATCATAGTATATAAGTAGGAGCCGAAGTCACAAAGACCTGGAGTCTCAAATTCGTACTCAGTACTACTAGTGTACAATGTGTGGCATGTTAATTTCCAAAGTCATTCATTTCCAATCTGGATGCTGCTGCTTGTATGTTGCACAATGGCAATACAACTTAGGAATAATCACAGTAAAATCATTTAACTTGGTTGCTGGCACACAGTAGGTTTCACTGACATGGTTCCCTTTTTCTTCATAAAAGCAAAATTAGACAAATGTTCTAGGTTGCTTTAATTTTTCAATCGATATTTCAAGAAATGATATATACATATGAACACACAAACACATTCATAAGACAGTGGCCACTGAACATAAAGACACAGGAAACATGGCCATAGAACATGATGTTGCTATTAATGCCACTGAGTCAGTTGATTCTGACTCACAGCGACCCTGTATAAGGTTTTTGAGGAGCTTGAACTGCTGACCTTGTGATTCAAATCGACCTTGCAGCCCAGTGCATTAACCACACCAGGACTCTAGAATATAATGAGAGAGATCTATATAAATCATGGGGAAGGAGTAATAACATGGATAAATTCCATGATCTTTTAATTCCATTTTTTCCACAAATCTTTTGAAGCCCCCTTGAATGTAAATAACACACTGTTATTGTTAAGTGCCGTCAAGTTGATTCTGACCCATAGCAACCCTGTATAGGGTGTCCAGGGAGTAGTTGATAAAGCTTGAACTTGGCGACCTTGCAGTTCAAATGGCTTTGCAGTCTGGCACATTAATCCACACCAGGACTCCCAATAATACACTGCCACCTATAAAGTGCTGTTTTTTCCATCAGCTAATTTTTAAGGCAGGGCATAGGCTGATAATAATGAGTTTACAGTATGTTTAATAATAAAAATGAGTATGTTTTCTAAGATTTTTAATTTTGATTCATTTTAAATGAATATATTCCCAACATACTGTAATGACACAAAAGACCATCAATGCCTTTCAGAGTCAAAGACAGATGAAATCTGCCTTTACAAAGTATACTACTAAATGACATTAAACTGCTTCTAACTCATAGCAACCCTGTATCGGGTTTCTGAGTTAAATCTTTGTGAGAGCAAAAAACGTCATCTTTCTCCAATTTAAATTGTATGATGGCAGTGGTTATGTCCTATGAAGTTGGTTCTGATTTATACAGACCCTGCATATGGTTTCCAAGGCTGTATATCTCTTTGGGAATATCAAGTCTCATCTTTCTCCTATGAAGTGGTTGGTAGATTTGGACTGCTGACCTTGGGGTCAGTAGCCCAACTCATAACCAAGTACACTAGAACAACACAATTGATAAATGTGCCAAGCTTCTAAAAGGAAAAGGTGTTTAAGAGAAGGAAACAGAGCAATTCTGTGGAATATCCCTTGCCTAAAAACAGAAGAATGAAAAGGCAAATTCGGAAAGAAAACCATGAACATACCCTAGAACCACTCCCAATTCCTTGACATGAACTCGCATCTGCCCTCTCAGGTACTCAGACAGCATTTTGCTTTTGAAGTATAACTCCTGCAACCGATCTTCAAGATGCATGACACACTGCATTTAGGAGGAAACCAACAATCAAGTCAGAAAACAGTTTTCAATAATGAGTTGCAGCAAATTCCAAAGCAGCATGCTTTTGAAAATTCTATTTAGTTATCCCAACATGTCCTAAATAATGGAGCACATTTTTACAACGTGTAGTTTTAGCTATGGGAGGGTAAACTTTTGATCTGGCTCATATAAAAGATTAACTTCTATGGAGCTTTTTAAGTATCTTATAATTTGAAGAAGAATTGATGTAATTGAATTATGGTATTGGTGAAGAATATTCCAAGTACCATGGACTGCCAGAAGAATGAGCAAATCTGTCTTGGAAGAAGTATTAAGCAGCCAAAATGCTCCTTAGAAACAAGAATGGTGAGACTTTGACTTATCAGTTTTGGACATGTTATTAAGAGATACCAGTCCCTGGAGAAGGACATCATGCTTCGTAAAGTAGAGAGTCAAAAAAAAAAAAAACCAGTAAGTCCCTCTACTAGATGAACTGACACCATGGCTATAAAAATAGGCTATAAGAAAGAATAATTCTGAGGATTGTATCAGACTGCGTAGTTTCATTCTGTTGCACACAGGGCTGCTATGAGTAGGAATCGACTCGAAGGAACCTAACAACAACATAGTTCCAGCAAGAGAAACAAAGAACTTTCAAAGTTGGAAATGGTGCCTTCTAAAAAAGACTATCAATATTATAAAGATGGGTCATTCAAATTCCCAACATAACAGTTGGGGTCCAGAATGCACTGATAATCTGTGCAAAGCTTGGGGACCTTGTATGACCACACCGCATGTGATACTAGTCAGGTATTGATAGCAAAAATTACAGTTGCTGAAATCATAAAATACATTTATATGTATACACACCCTTTCAGAAAAACAATGATGAGACAACCAGGTATATTTATGCATCAGAATGATAAAGGTATTTCAAGCTTTATACATACTTACAAAATTTGGAGACAGGTTATGTTTATAAAGCTGAAGAGTGGAATGAAGCAGGTTGGAAACAAGACTAGAAACTAGCACTTCTTTTCCCAGTTTATTATCTGTCATTCTTCTCTGGCTACTGGCCACTTGAACAGTCCATTTATCCATATCTGCTATAATACAGACAGCTTCTGCTATTGGTTCATCTAACACTGGATGCTAGAAAGTTAAAAAACAAAACAAAACACAATTCATTTTAATAATAAGCAAATGGGAGTTTTCAAAGAAAATGCTAGTAAATGAGGCAATTACAAGATACTTAACAAAATCAGAAAAACAATGTTAAATTCTGACAGTTACTGTCAAACATTCCCTGACAGAAGAGGACTGAGTAAATAATGAACAACATAACAAATACTAAGATATCTTCTAGAAATCTCATAGGCTTTGTAATATGTACCAGAACTTACTGTTCTTAATTTAGAACCAAACTTACACCAGTTTTTAATCATTCATTTGGTAATTTAATGACTTTATTGAATACCAACTATATGTTAAGCAACGGAATTTTCTTTTTATATACACAAAGAGCTACATATCTTTAGAAAGGACAGGAAGTCACACCACCAAGTCAAGGGTGATGGTGATGTTCTGTGCTGAATATCTCAACTGTCTGGCATGTTTTACTTGAGGACTTCAGGGGTTGTCCCTTGATGACATGAATTCCCTTGCTATCTATGTGCACTAGGTCTTTCTACTTTACCAATACATATGACAGGGTTTCAAACAGTTCGTGAAAGGGAGTGAGGCTTTTGGGCAGATAAGGTAGAAGTGCTGTGCAGACCTCCAACAATAATAACATAGAATACCAGATGAAGCAGGTTCAGGGGACAATCCCAGAACTCTGAACTAAATATAAAGGAATATTTAGAAGGTTTGAAGGCTTACTGCTAGTGGGATTTGTAGCAGAAGCAAGAAAGGTGGAATTTTCTGTTCTGTGGCTGCTGGTAGGTGCCAGAGTGGCCATCTTGGGCATGACGAAGCAGGAGTAGGATCAGAGGAGCACTCCCACCTCAGAGGTCTGACTGATCATCAGAGATAAAGGTGGGAACACTTTTTCCTGTTCATTGGTCAATCACTGTCTGTGCACCTCCAGTCTGGTGACTAGAGGGGGTGCCTGAGCAAGTGGACACCCCCACTCCCAGAGGGTACTATTATGCATGTGCATGGATCTGCTCAGCAGAGACCACTGCACTCAGAATATAAAAAGGGGATTGGAGTCAACAGGAACTGCTTAAACCAGAATGGTCTCGCAGAACGGCTCGAGCTGGCTGAGCGAGGGACATTAAATCATACTCATATTTTGCTACTCCCCCCTCCACCCCCGATTATAGAATGTAGTATCCAATCTGTTTTTCCTTTTTGCTTTTGTGGCTTTATTTATTTATGGTTCCACTTTACCCTTGGGGGGAGGGGGCCTCTTTCTATTCCTACATTATCTATCAAGAGACAGCAATTGTGGTTATTATAGCCAAGCTACAATCACACACTGCAAAATCCCATCATCCAGGCAAGAGCCAATACCAATTGCTATACACAGATAGACAGCCAACACCTGCTATTGTTACTCTGACTTGAGTAATAAGAAAAGTGAAAATGGAAGCCCATCTCCTGATCACATCTACTTGGAGGCCATCAGAAAGCTTAATAATATATTAACATACATTTATCTAATTATTGAAAACATTTAATTATTGAATATGCCCAAGAAACAGTCGAAGATTCTAGCACATGTCCAGAAACAAATGAGCTGCAGGTAGCCCTAGACTTACCACTGGAAGAAGGGCAGGCTTTGAAAGTGCCTAAGAAGGAATTCAGGAGAATGATACTGAAGTGCATTCAAATGCTCCACAGAAGGGATGAGAAAGATAAGGAAAAAGTCAGGAAAGCCCAACAGGAACTATCAAAGAAATAGCATTGGAAACAATTCAAAACCTGCAAAAGGAGGTCCAAAGAGATGATGACATGGAGAGATATAGCAGGTGAGAACTCTAGACTCTTGAAAGAGAATGGTTGTGTGCTGACAGCCAGGAGGCAGGCTTGAAGAATGTGCCCTTTGGTTGTTTAAATGATTATATATTCCTGAGTGTTTCTGTGTACAGCCCCCCCCCCAAAAAAAAACAAACAAACAACAAAAAAAAAACCCAAGAAGGAATAGAAGCAAATACTGTTGAATGATGATGCACAAAGGTATTGTAAAAGAGGGCCAAATAGATAATAATAAAAATCAGAACTGAACCATACACTTAAAGGGCAAAGGAGTACAAATGAAGAGATGGAAGCCAGAACCAGTGAGCTGGAAGACAAACCTCTCAATACTGCTAAGACAGAAGAACATGCAGAAAAAAAAGATAAAAAAATCTGAAGTAAGTCTAAGATTCATGTGGGACAACATGCAGTCAAATAACTTGAGAATTATTGGAATTCTGGAATAGGAAGAATCACAGAAGATCACAGAGGAGATAGTGGAGAAGAGCTTCTTGAAGATAATTTCCCTAACATCCTAAAAAATGAAAAGATAAAGCATTCAAGAAGCTTAACAAACCCCAGGAAGGACAGACTCCATAAGAAATCACCAACACATATCATAATCAAGCTCTCCAAAATCAACAACAAGGAAAGAATTCTGAAAGCAGCTAGGGAAAAAGAGAAGTGTTTTCTTACAAATGCAAGCAAATCAGATTAGCTCTGATCTTTCAGGAGAAATTATGCAGGCAAGACAGCAATAGGGAGAGAAATATAAAATCCTGAAAGAAAAAATACTGGCAACCAAAAATTGTCTACCCAGCAAACCTGTCAGTCAAATATGAAGGTGTAATAAAAACATTCCAGGATAAACAGAAACTAAGGGATTTTGTCAATGCCAACTCAGCACTTCCAAACATTATAAAAGGAGTTCTTTGGACTGAGAACCAACAAGAACAGACAAGCACCACCCAGAACTCAATAGACAGATGGGAGCGTCCAGGGCAGAACATAATAATAACAAGAATGAATTCAGAGGATCTGGGAAGTGAGTCTATGATCAAAACAATTACAATGTGAAAGAAGGTAAAATAAAAGAACAGAAATTCAGGTGATACGGAAGTCAGGTAGACTGCAGGGTAAAATGTTGTTGTTGTTGTTAGGTGCCATCGAGTTGGTACTGACTGATAGCGACCCTGTGTACAACAGAATGAAACACTGCCCGGTCCTGGGCCAACCTCACAATTGTTGCCACGCTTGAGCCCATTGGTGCTTCCACTTTGCCAATCCATCTCACTGGGGATCCTCCTCTTTTTCTCTGACCTTCTACCTTACCAAACATGATATGCTTCTCCAGCGGCTGGTTCCTCCTGACAATATGAGACTATTTTAAATTAAGGAGAAAGTTAATAGAATATATGGTAATCTCAAAAAAAATTAATACTTCACAACATACCAAGAAAATGAAAATCCACGAAGAACATGGAAATATGAAGCTTAAGAAACAATACCCATACTAAAAGAAAGAAAAAAAAAATTATTTGTTGGCTACCAGGGGTGGGAGGGAGGGGACAGCAGAGCACAGATTAGGGGACTGACATATTACAGTTCAGGTGTTGTGGAGGGCAATACACAAGAAGGGAGTAGGGAAAGGAAGAACAAGGTAGATAGGAGAACACTCAGGTTTACATGGGCTAAATGGGACAGAGGTAAATAGTGAAATATGCTCAACCTTGGAACAACAGGGCTCTGTGTGATATAGGAATCTAAGCATGCTCTGAATGGGTAAACGAAA